TTTTTGCATCTTTGTTCATAGGGGACAATTGCGTGTTTTTTTCTTTCTTTGTTGTTGCTGTTTGCCTAGTTTTGGCCTTAGAGTAATACTGACTTTGTAGAAAGAGTTTAGAAGTACTCTCTTGTTTCTTTATTTTTGAATATGTAGGTCTTCTTTGAAAGTCTGGTAGAGTTGTGCTGTGACTCCATCTGGACCTGGACTTTTTTTAGTTCGAAAATTTGGTATCACTGTTTCGATCTTCTTTCTTGGGCTCTGTTTAACTTGTTGATCTCTTCTTGGTATAACTTCAGTGATTCATTAAATCTAGAAATTCATCTATTTCTTCTAGGTTTTCTACCTTAATGGAGTATAGGTTTTTAAAGTATTTGCCTTACAATGTTCAGGATTACTTTAGTGCCTGTTTTGATGTTTTCCCTGGTGATCTCTGATTTTGTTTATTTGGGTCTGTTCTTTCTTTTGCTTAGTTAAGTCAAGGGTCTGTCAATCTTATTTACCTTTAACCAGTTCTTAGATTTGTTGATTCCTTATATTATTTTCTTTGTTCATTCATTTTGCTCTTATTTTTATTATTTTTTCTTGATTGCTAGGTTTGAGTTTGATTTGTTCTTGTTTATCCAGATTCTTGAGTTGTGTCATAAGTCATTATTAGTTCTTTTTCTGATTTTTAAAATTTTTTTATTTTATGTATATGAATGTATTGCCTGCATGTATGTGAGTGCACCCATGTCGTGCAATGCCACAGAGGTCAGAGAGGGCCTCAGATTCCCCTGGAACTGGAGTTAAGGAAAGTTCATAGCCACCATGTGGGTGCTGGGAATCAAACCTGGGCCCTCTGCAAGAGCAGTCAGTGTTCTTAACCACTGATCTATCTCTCTAGCCCCACTTTTTCTGATTTTTTAATATAAAGACTTAGAGCTATAAATTTCCCTCTTAGGACTTCTAATGTTTCACAGAAGTTTTGTTGTGATGTATTTTTATTTCTAGGATTTTTCTTTTCTTAATTTCTTCTTTGACCCATTCATTCATCATTCAATAGTATGTTGTTAATCTCCATCTGTTTGTATAGTTACTAGATTTTTTTCCTGTTGATTTGAAGCTTTATTGCAGTATGGTCAGATAGGATACATGAAGTTATTTCAGTTTTTCTATATTTCTTGAGATTTGTTTTGTGTCCCAATATGTGATCTGTTTTAGAGACATTTCTGTCAGCTGCTAAGTGGAATGTGTATTCTTTAATGTTTACATGGAATATTCTGTAGATATCTGTAAGGTCATTTAATTCCTTTGTTTCTCTGTTTAGTTTTTAATCCAGATGACCTCTCTATTGGAAGAAGTGGAGTACTGAAGCCACCTGCTATTACTGAGTTGGTGTTAATCTGTGTCTTAAATTCCAGTAGTACTCTTTTGTGAAATTGAGTACTGCAGAGTTTGGTGCATGTATGTTTATGATTGTACTGCCATCTTGGTTAGTTGTTTCCTTGATTAAGATGAAATGTTCTTTATCACTTCTGATTAATTCTAGTTTGAAGTCTATGTTTCACATATTAGGATAGCAACACCTGCTTGTTTCCTGGTTCCATTTGCTTGGAATACTTTTTCCATCCTTTCCCTCTAAGATGGTACCTATCTTTGAAGGTAAAATGAGATTCTCATAATCAACAAAAAGATGGATTTTGTTCCTTAGTCCATGCAACTAACCTGTGTCTTTTGATTGGGGAGTTGAACCCATTAATGTTTAAAGTTGTTATTGAAAGATGTGTATTTATTACTGTCATTTTATTTTCTGTTTTTGATCTTAGTCTTTTGTTTTTCTGTAATTATAGCTTGTATTCTTTCTGTAGCCCCTTGGCTATGTTTACTGCTCTCTTCAATGCATAGTGTTGCTTCCAGTATTCTCCATAGGGCTGGTTTGGCAGACATGAATGCCTTTGACCTGTTTTATCATGGAAAGTTTTTCTTTCTCCTTAAACTATGCAGGTAGTTTTGCTGGGCAAAGTAGTCTGTGTTGGCATCTGTGATCAATTAGAACTTGGAATACTTTGCTCCAGGCTCTTCTGGCTTTTAAAGTTTCCATTGAGAAGTCAGCTCTTATACTGATAGGTTTTCCTTTATATGTGACTTATGATTTTTCTCTTGCAGCTTTCAGTACCCTCTCTTTGTTATGTGTATTTAGTGTTTTTGCTATGATATGCCATGGACAGTTTTTTTCTGGTCCTGACTACTTGGTGTTCTTTGTGCTTCTTGTATCTGAATGTGTATGTCTTTCCTTAATTTAGGGAAGTTTTTTTCTGCAATCCTGTTGAAAATCTGGTCTGTGTCATTGATCTGGGATTCTTCTGTGACTGTAATTCATAGATTTGGTCTTTTCATGGTATCCCAAATTGTTTCATGCTCTTTGCTTGTGTGGTCCAATTCCTCTACTTTATCTTCAGGTCCTGGTATTTTATCTTTTACTTAATCCATTCTATTGGTAAGTCTTTCTCCTCCATTTTCTAACTGGGCTGTTGAGTTTTGCTCGTGTCTTGGGGTTCATCTCTGCAATTCTCATTGGACTATATTTCTATCAGACTAGTTGGTTGTTGGAGAAAGGAGACATATTATCTTCACCTTTCATATTATTTGTGTTTTGTGATGTAATCTGGGCATGTGGAGCTCTTTCATTGGTTATGTATCTGATAGGAGATTCTTGCCTACCTCTGTTGTGCCTGTTTGGTTCTGCATTTGTTATTGTCCAATCTTGATCGATTTCAGATCAGATATAAAGAGTTGGTAGCTCAGTGCTTCAGATTCTCGGTTTTGATTAATATGTTATTATTTTTATTTTATGTGTTTGAGTGTGTTGCCTGCATGTGTATAAGTGCACCCATGTTGTGCAGTGCCCACAGAGTCAGAAGATCGCATTGAATACCCTGAAACTGGAGTTACGGATGGTTATTAGTCACCATGTGGGTGCTGGGACTTGAACCTGGGTCCTCTACAAGAGCAGCTGGTACTCTTAACCACTGAGCCATCTCTTCAGCCCCTTGGTTTTGATTTTTGATTGGAGGAACAAAGATGATTCCAGTTCAGTGATAACTAAAAACATATATGTATGTGAGTCCTTCCAGGTCTGCTTGGGCTGGTGCACAAGCAAGGTGCACTACATAAGGTAGATCTGGGAGTGTGGGGATGGTACTGGTAAAGTGGGATCAGGGGCAACTCACATGACTGGGCTGGTATACTGCCTGCATCACCCCAGCTATATATGGGGATGGTGTGGGTGGGTGAGGATATGGGTAACTCACAACTGAGCTGATACATAGGCTGAGCAACTTGAGATAGGGCTTCTGGGAATGTGGGAACTGTACATGCAGGTGGGACTCGGGGCACTCACCTAGCTTGGCTGGTGCACAAACTGCATACCGTCACCTGGGTCTCAGAGGGTGGGGACAGGACAGGCAAATGAGGTTCTGGGGAACTCACCTAGCTTATCTGGTGTACAAACTGTGCAACCCAAGCTAGGCCTGGGAGTTCAGGAACACAGCAAAAAGAAAAGGATCTGAGCTCTCACCAAGCTGGACTGGTGCACAGGCTAGTTTTCTGCTTTAACTCCTTGAGAGTAGTAAATTTCTTGGATACATCTCAGAGGGTGGCTTTGTTACAAGAAGACTTTCCAATTCATCATGTATTTTTTACTCTAGGTAAAGAGGTCTATATGAGGGGCTGGAGAGATGGCTCAGTGGTTCTTGCAGAGGACCCAGGTTCAGTTCCTAGCACCCACATGGCAGCTAACAGTCGTTCATAACTCCAGTTCCAGGGGATCCGGCAGCCTCCTCTGACCTCCCCAGGCACTGAATGACATGGGTGCATCTACACACATGCAGGCAATATGCTCATACACATAACATAATAATACTATTTTAAAGAGGCCTATTTGAAATCTTCAAAAAGCAACACTCCCAAAGCCTAAGACTGATTTTTTTCATTGCACTCCAAAGGAGAAGTTAAGGGGACAAAGTTCTAAAAGCAAGCACAAATACTTTCTGAGTAATAAGCTTTCATATCTTATTACATATGAACATGTTATGGTCAAAGGAAATAGAAGTCTGCTGCAGTCTTTCAAAAGGCAAACAGGAAACAAGTGAACATGTTTCCTTCTTTGACCTTGAGAGAAGTAAGTTTAATAACTTCCATGTATGCATCTCAGAGATGTTGTAAGCAGTCTTCCCTTCCAAATCACCATGTGTTGTTGTTTTTATAACCCACTGAGTCCAATTTATACTACCCATATACTCATGGATGCGGGGCCATCCAGTGGAGCCTGGTTGAGTTACCCGGGGCCACACCCTTAAGGAGAGGCTGAGACTCCTGTCCATGAGGCTGAATACCAAGCAGTCCCAGTATAGCACTGAAGGAAAGCCACTGGGGTTTGTTTGTTTGTTTGCTTGCTTGCTTGCTTGCTTGCTTTGACTTTTTTGAGACAGGGTCTCCCTGTAGCCCCATCTGGTCTGGAAGTCACTATGTCTTAGACCAGGCTGGCCTCCATCTCACAGAGATAGCTACCTGCGTCTGCTGCCTGAGTGCTGGAGTTAAAGGCATGCACCACCACTCTGGGCTTGTTTTCTTGGTTACTATACTTGATTGAAATTTTCATATACTGTATCTTTAAAAGCAAAATGTTAACTGCATAGAGCTAATAATAAGGTGTTCTTGTGTCTAAGAAGTAGGTAAGAGTGAGGTCTCAGTGTAGTGCTGGGAACTGAGAAAGAAAAAATTGTGTTAGTGAGCAAAAGGTAGATAATAGTGTTAACTAGTATAGAAGTTAAAGAAGATGTAGTTCAACTCTGATCACTCAGTTCTGTTTTTGTTCATCTCTGCTTGCATGTTCCTTGATGGCTGAAGGGGAGTATCTGAGGTACTTGAAAAAATTGCTTTGATCAAACGTTTTTATTATTATTTTTGATTGAAAAAAACTTATCCAAGCTTCCTTTTCTTACATGTGATATTTATTTGATTTTTAGGAGACTAATGAGCAAAAACTACATAAAATAGCCAGTGAACTTTTGCTTACAGAAAGAGCTTATGTCATCCGACTCGACCTCTTAGATCAGGTAATATTTGCCCTTTCAAAATAATTTTTTTTACTTTCTTATATCATTTAACATAGGAATTAAAATATTTTAGGAGGTACAAGACAGGCCTGGCAGGTTTGGATAATGCAAGTTAATTGCTTAAGGAAATTTTCAGAACTTTTGTGTTCATTGGTGAATTTTCTGAAAGTATAAGCATTTTTTGTGATGTGTAACAGAAATTTCTCTTTATATGTCACAGAATGCCTTTACTTACCTATGTCCTATAATGTTAAACATTAGTCTATTTCTTGATCATTACAATCCTAGGAGGCCATATTACTATCAAAATCTAAATAGAATATTGGTGATTTTAATGCTAACATGATTATATTGCTCCTTCTATTTGTCCTGTTTAATATTTAGCACTGTTAGTGGTATTAGATGGTGCTGTCACAAGATTTTGACAGTCTACTTGTTCAACCTTATATGGAACTTTTAGATAGAGTATCTGCTGTAAAGCCATCCAGTTAATATTTGTTGCATACATGGGTCTACTTTTTCACATTTTATACTTTCATCATGGTACAGCCTTGAGCATGATTTCTTCCATACATTTGGAAAGCATCAAAGTGTATCAGGATCGCTGTTGAGAGCTAAAGCACTGTGGTCCTGAGCTGATAGGTTATATGCTAATGAAGACTTTCCTTATTAAAAAGGAAGTTAGGGGGCTGGAGAGGTGGCTCAGTAGTTAAGAACACTGGCTGCTTTTGCAGAGGACCTGAGTTAGATTCCTAGAATGGTGGTAACAACCATCCAAAACTCCAGTTCCAAGGGATGTTCTGGCCTCAGCTGGTGTTGAACAACACAGGTGAACTTACATGCATGTGGGCAGAACACTCATACACATAAAAATAAATAAATAGATAGATAATAAATAAATAAATAATTGTTTTGAAAAATAAGCTGCCATGTTTGAGTATTAGTTGTCTCATTCTACTTCTGTCACTGGGAAACTGGGATTTCATGGAAACACATGGTCCTGGGCACACCTTATCATTGGTTCCCAGAGGATCCTATACACCATTAGTATGAGTCTTAAGGAGCCAGTTTAAGGCTTATGCTCTTTGAAATAGTGAGGCTGTAGTTCAAATACTCAATTTCAAGTAACTTTATTACCGTAATACAAAATTCATTCATGCAAAGTTTGGACCTTTGAGATAATTTTTCTTCTCTATGGGAATTACCATCTTGGAAGTGTTCCCATAGTAGAGAGAGGTATTTTCTTCAGAGGAAATTGTACTTTTTTAAAACTTTATTTAATTTATTTGTATTTTATGTGTATGGGTGTATTTCCTGCATGTATGTAAGTGCACCTGTGTATACAGTGCCCCCAAAAGCTAGAAGAGGGCGTTGGAGCCTCTGGAACTGGAGTTAGGGAGGGTTGTTTGCCACCATGTGTACTGGGATTTGAACCTGGGTCTTCTGTAAGAGCAGCCAGTAGTCTTAACAGCTTAGCCACCTTTGCAGCCCCACAAATTTCACTTTTTAATGCCAAATTAACTTGGCTTCTTTTACTGACTTTTTAAATGTGTTAGTAACTTAATTACTGTAGTATCCTGTCTGTTGGAATGCCTAAAGGAGATAGTTTTTTGTTCTTTTTTGCTTCCCAATAAAGTGGAGTTACATAAATTTAGAAAATTAATAAACATTTGGGCAAGGTGAAGGAACAGACTTCTTTCTGCTTACTTTAACAGAATGGCAGAACTATTATAACCCTGGTTAAGCATAGCTAAGAGCTTAAGATTTTTCACTCAATGTCTATATATTAAGCATCTGTTCTATTTATGAGAACTACATTATTTATCTTCCCTACCCAAGATGCATAAAATATGAATAGGAAAAAATTAGATTTATATCAACAGCCATGTCTAGTACTTTTCTGTTGCTGTGCTAAAAACTCTGACAAAAGCAGCTTAAGAAAGAAGAGTTTATTCTGGCTCGATTCAAGGTAGAGTCCATTCTGGTGGAGAAGTCAAGGCAGCAGGAGCTTGCAGCAACCAGTCAAGAGCCAAGACCAACAAAAGCATGGTGCTGCTTAGCATCCCTTCTCCACTGGTGCAGTCCAGGATCCCATCCAGGGAATGGTCCCACTCACAGTGAGCACATCTTCCCATCTCTATTAGTAGAACCAAAATAATGCCCCACAGACATGGCCCATCTTCCAGGTGATTCTAGGTTCTGTCAAGTCAACAATACTGTCACCCACAGTGAGGGCAATGTGTAATAATTGCTATAGAAGTCATTCAAAACATAATCAGTGGAAAAAACCACATTGTGTGCATAATAAAGTCCTTGTACATCCCTTCCCTAAAACTGTGGATGAAAAGGGTCAATCCCATGAACCTCAGTTGGAAATTCTCTGGCACAAAGAGGCTCTATATTTACCTCAGTTACAATCTAATCTTTGTCGTTCTTATTTAAGGTTCTTCCAAATCAAAATGTGTACCCACTCCTTCATTTCAAGTAGTGATTGATTTCTGAGACCATAAACTCCATCAGTTTCAAGCCCTGTACAGGACTCGCACAGTGCAGGTTAGTTAGCCAACAACCCTGAAGTAACGCTTGCTTTATTCTCTTATTCAGGTATTTTACTGCAAACTGTTAGAAGAAGCAAACCGAGGCTCATTTCCTGCAGAGATGGTGAATAAAATCTTTTCTAACATTTCATCAATAAATGCCTTCCATAGTAAATTCCTATTACCAGAGCTGGAGAAACGAATGCAAGAATGGTAAGAGAAGGAAACGGAGATTGTATGCTGAAGGCATGCATGCGAGATGCCATGTTTTTCAGCTTTTAGACTAAAATGAAAATGCCACACACAACTACAGCTAGACATAGTGCCAAATTTTTACATTAAAAACCTCTGATGTTATACTACATTGTCATGTGTCAGTGGAAAAGGTTTCATTTATGTTTTCCAGTTGATGTTTTGACTAGTGAAGACAAGAATCAAGGGTAAACAGGAACTCTGAGAATTCCATAGCATCTTTCAGCTGTCCTTAAACTCCCCTTTGAAAAGCTCACAACAAAGTGGATCTGAGAAAGCAGTGTGTGTGTGCAGTGATTACTTTATCTGCAGACCTACTTCCTTATTCACTCTGTAATAAATATGAATCTTGTTTCTGTATTTCCTATAGGGAAACTACTCCCAGAATTGGAGATATCCTTCAGAAGCTGGCCCCGTTCCTTAAGATGTATGGAGAATATGTGAAGGGGTTTGATAATGCAGTGGAATTGGTTAAGAACATGACAGAACGCATTCCCCAGTTCAAATCAGTAATTGAGGAAATTCAGGTAATAGGACAGTTTTGTTCATGGTTATGGGTTCATATTTCCTTACAAATCATGGTCTTTTAGATCTAAAATTGATACGCAAAGATTTTTCCAAGATACTTAGCCAAAATCCATTCCACCCTGAATAATGCAAAGTTAAAGAAATCACTGAGTGCATGCCACACACTAAGTGATAGGAAATGCTGCATTTATTTGGAATTAGCAAAGGCTAGCTCTTTTAGAGTCTACATAAATGTATAAAGTGAGCCAGGTGTGATGGGCCTATGCCTGTAATGCAGCATTCAGGATGCTGAAGCAGCAGGTGGCGAAGCTTGAGGCCCATCTTGGCTACATAGTGAAGCTACATCTCAAAAATAAATAAATAAACAAATAAATAAATAAATAATTATAAAGTGAGTTCTGAGTTTCTAGAAAGACTGGAAATGAGAAATGACTGCAGTGCAATGACACCTGTTTTTTTAATATTTATTTTCATTTTGTGTGTATGGGTGTATTTCCTGCATGTATGTAAGTGCACCCATGTCATGCATTGCCCGTGGAGATCAGAAGAGTATGTCACATTCCTCTGAAACTGGCATTATGGATGGTTGTTAGCCACCATGTCAGTGCTGGGACTCAAACTTGGGTCCTCTGCAAGAGCAGTCAGTGCTCTTAAGCACTCAGCCATCTCTTCAGTCCTGAAACCTGATTTTTTAAGTTACTTTATATCATGGTTTGCTTACATTTTTTCAAGCCTACATAATATGTTTTAATAGTACCATAATAATTTCCATTAATTCTGTAGTCAAAACTCAGAATTATTAATGACTGACTCTCAAATGCACTTCAAGTGTTGAAGTAGAATTCTCTGCATCACATGATAGTCTTAGCTCCTTGGCTTTGGCTTCTGCTTTTTGTGTTATATAAGTAGGTTTTATTGCACCATTTTGATTCCATCTATTTTTAACGTATTTTTAAATTATTTTCCTACTGATTGTTCTTAGGATAATAATATGTGCCTTAAATCACCACCACCTGGGTCAGATTATACTAACATTAATCTTAGTGAAATATTTCATTCCTGTGTACTTTTGTTCTGTGCTCCATGCTGTCCTATTAGTGTCATATATACTTTAAAACACAATTTTCTGTGTTTTAAATCCAGTATTATAGTGCTATGATTATGTATACATTATACTTTTTAGTTAAGGAATGATATGAAGAAAATTAATATATATAATATTAATTCATTTGCCATTACCATAGTAGTTTCTTTTAAGCATAAGATGATTGTTGTTTCTTTTGTTTTGTTTTGTTTTGTTTTGTTTTTGTCTTTTTGAGACAGGGTCTCCTTGTGGCCCCAGATGTCCTGGAACTCACTATATAGACCAGGCTGGCCTCAAACTCACAAAGATCGGCCTCCCTCTGCCTCCCAAGTGTTGGGATTAAAGGGGTGCACCACCACGCCTGGCATATTGTTTCTTTTAAGGTAGATCCTGACAAGTCTGTCAGTGCTTTTATTCAAGTGCTGAGCTTTTGCCTCATGACAGTTTGATTTCTCAGTCCATGTGCTTTAGTTCAGTGTTGAGTGTGTCGCCCTTTCTCTCTCCTGGACTGATTTCCAGGAATCTGCGAAACTCCTATGTGTAATGCTTTATCTCTGCGAAGCTCCTATGTGTAATGCTTTGTTTATCTCTGCAAAGCAAAGCTCCTATGTATAATGCTTTGTTTATCTCTTGTCTCTTTCATGTGTTTCCCTATATGTTCAGGTTTGACTCTTCCTATTTATCCTCCTTTGAGGTTGGACTTCTTGTATTTGTAAATTATTTTTTTAAATTACTTTGTGGTTTTAGCTAATTTTCCCATGTGTGTGTGTGTCTGTCTGTCTGTCTGTCCCTGTGTGTGTATGCACACTAGCACATGTGTGTAGAAGTCAGAGGATAGCTTTCAGGAGTCAGTTCTCTCCCTTCCCCTTGGGTCCCAGGGATTGAACTCAGGCTGTCTGGCTTGTGCAGCAAGCCCTTTGATCAGCTGAGCCATTTTGCCTGCTTCATCATTTCTTCTGGATATATTCTCTATACTTTTCTTTTTTGTCTTTTTTCTAACTTCCACTATGAAAGTGTTTTCCTTCAAGTTTATGAAATTGTGTTTCTTTAATCCCTCTTTGTGTGGAGTGTGTTCTTCAGTTTAAAAGTTAGTTTGCAAACTGATGAGTTTCAGTGTGGCATTTTCATGCCTGTGTTGTTATTTTGCTCTCAGTGATTCCCTACCCTTACTACCTCCCTGTCTTCCCAGCTTTCTGCCTTCCTGGACTCCTTCTTCCCCCAAATAGAAATCGAAGCTTTCATTTTATCTTCACTATCCTTTCTTTGAATGGTTTCTGTTGTTTGGGTTCCTTTGTTTATTTTGGGGTTTTGAGACAGGATGTTACACTAGAGGTTGACCTGGAACTCACTATGTCACCCAAACTGAACTTGAACACATACTCCTCCTGCCTCAGTCTCCCAAGTACTGAGAGTATGGACGCGAACTACAATACCCAGTCCTCTGCTTCATAGAATATATAATTTCTACTAAACTTTCTTCAAAGTTGATTAATCTGTAATCTCACATCTGCTGTTGAAATTCTATGATGAAATTTTCATTTCAGTTATACTTTTCAGTTATACTATTAGGTTCCACGTTGTCTCTTTTTTTGTTTGTCTTTCTATCCTTCCACTTATCTTTCTATCTGTCTGTCTCTATTATCCATCTCCTTGAAAACTACTATTTATGCTTTCACTGTTTTGTAGTTTCCTTTGGTTTTTCAAGCATTATTTGATTTTCCTAAGCATATCCGTAGCTACATTGATGTCTCTGCCACATCCAGTGTATGAGGATATTGTCAGAGGTCATACTTATCCTAGCAACCTGTATCCTCTTATTTCTCCTACATGCTTGTGATTTCTTTGTTCCTTTTCTGCTTAGACTGTATCTATAAAATGCCTTTCCTCTCCACTCAGTTTTTTTTGTTGAATATGACTGTGTTTGTGAGCCAGTCTTTCTAGGGATTGTTTGTATGTCTGAATTAGTTAAGGGTCAAGCAACTACTAGAGAGGCTCAGTTACCTGGAAAGCATAAGCTCCTTTGCTGTATTGATAAACCTAGCTGAGGGTAATGGAGTCTCTTTAAAGGTCAGTGCACTTTTGAGTCCATTTGATCCTTTCCTGTCTTCTGACCACATGACACATAGTATGGGAGCAGCCAGGGATTTTCTTGCTTTGGTCCTCTTAATTGTTCATACAATCTAGGTCAAAAATATGCTTGCCCCAACCACAGCTTTCAGGCTTGCAGAGCCGTGTGCCACCCTACCCACCCTCCGACTTGATAATCTTTACTCATTTTCCTCATTTTTACTGATCATGTCTTCATCGCCCACAACTCCAAATTGGCTCTCTCTCAAACTTAGCATAGAAGCTGCCTGCAGCACCCTGGCAGAGCCTTTATGTTAACAAGAATCCAGGGAAGGGGGCAGCAGTTCCCGGCTAGGATGCCACAAATCCTCTGCTCTTCCCGAAGCTCAACAGATTTTCTTTTAACCTACTGAATTTAATTAGGGTTGCTTACATTTATGCTTTCATAAATGTTTTTTAGATTGTTGTATCCCTCTGACAAGTTTCTAAAATGCTGAAATAGTTTAACTTTACTCAGCTTTAAATAGAGAAGGTTTCCTGTGTCCTCATTCATAACCAAAAGTCCCATGTCGGCCCTCTCACCCTTCTGTCTGTACTTCCTTCTTTCATCTGAACATTGGCTCTAATTTTCATTCTTTTACTAGCCCTTTTTGTCAACGAAAATCTAGACAGCACTCAAGATTTTTCTTCTCCAGTGTCTGTCTCCACACCCTCAGTGACATCATATTTTCTCATGCCTTAACTATCATGACAGGTACCTGCAAGTTTGTTGTGTCTAGTCTTCTACCCCCAAACTTCAGTAAGTAATGGCTGGGTGAAGTTTGTACAGTTCTTTATGGCAATTTTGTTAGAACAAAATCAGCATGTTGCGGCTCTGTCACTGCCATTTCCCTGTCTCAGTGTCCTGATCATTGTAAAAAGTTCAGTAAATATTTTTAAAGGAGTTCTACATTGTGTAATACAAGCGCCGCATCTTGATTTTTTTTTCTCTCTCTCTCTTCTTGCAAGCAAGCATTAAAGGCTGTTTTTCTCTAAGAACTAGAATTTTTTTTTCTAATGAAGAATGCCTTGACTTGAGGATAAGCTAAAATTCCCTGACAGATAGTAGGTTGACTAGGCCTCATCATTCTCTTATGGAGTATTGTTTTTTTTTTAATAATTGCCTTATTATGAAATAGTTTCTGCCAGGTCTAAAAATATTTCGTCTTGCACCTTTGGCCACTAGACCATCCTGACACCCTCCAAAGTTACTTTCTACAATTGTTCTTAGTGAGCCTCACTAAACATACACACATATATATAAAAATCTCTGTAAAATGGTTTAATAATATGATTTCACACACCTGAGGAGTGATTAATTAAAGTGGTTGCTAGCAATCTGAAGTGTTCTGCTAGGTTTTTTTCTCTTTCTGTTGATACACTAAATTAGTGGACCTGAACCTTTAGCATTATAAAAATCTGGGATTTTTTTAATGTATATTTCCTAGCTACTTCCCCCAAATTGTGATTTCCTTGACTGAATGGGGTTCAGAAACATGTGTTTTCCAAAACATCTCAGATATATAATACAGGCATACACAACTACACTTTGCAGAAAAATACTGCTTTTTTTTGAAAGTTCTGTATTAGGTTAGATTGGCTAACCTAATTTTTAATTATTCCTTTAAAAACCTGGCTTATGGGGGAGGGAAAGCTGGAAAGATGTCTCAGTGGATAAAGGCACCTGCCCCTGATGACCAGAGTTCAATCCCCAGGACCCTCACATAGGTAGGAGTGAACCAACTCTCACAAGTTGTCCTCTGACTTCCACACTCTCAGTATGGCACACATGCATACACACTCACATGCACACACAAGAAATAATAAATGTAATAGAAATATTTAAAAATAAAACCTTGGTTTATTACAGAAACAGAAGTTCTGTGGGAATCTAACCCTCCAGCATCACATGCTGGAGCCTGTTCAGCGGATTCCTCGGTATGAGATGCTCCTTAAGGACTATCTAAGAAAACTGCCCCCTGACTCCCCGGACTGGAGTGATGCAAAAAGTAAATGTTTTTATTCTCCCTTAACAATAGCACACTGAAGCAGCCAAGCAACCTTGTGGTTCCAAAAATACATATGATGATAATATGAGCTACTTTAGTCAAACATTACTGTCAGAGAGTAACCTCACTTGAAACTGTTACCAACACCTCAGTTAAGAAAGGCACTTTTGAACCCAGATTGCAGATTTGGAGAAGTACAAATCATATTTCTCATTCTGGATTCATGCTAATAACTGTGAAATCTAAAACTATAGTCTTAGAGACATTTGAAGTAACTGTGAAGACACAGTTACCTTCTCATGGGAAGAACACAAGCATTTGGAACTGCAAGTGCTGCTGATGTCTATCAAGAAAGCTAAGGTGACTTTCACTAAGTAAAAATAATGTAAGGAAAGTTGGTCTTACCTCCCGTAAGATATACAGGAAATGATGTGTTTTATAGTCTAGTAACATTTTTTCAAGAAAACTTTATTCCACTGATATTGTATTGATAGTCTTTGATTATTTCATTAGATTAGAATGAAAGGCTTTTTATTAAAATTTGTGTTTAATTAATACTTTAGATTCTCATGCAATTTAGAGATGAATGTTACTTACAGTAAAAGTCTGAGATGGCTTTTAAAAACCCTAAATTAGAAGCTAGGGAGTTGACTCCGAAGTTGAGAGCACTGGCTGCTCTTGCAGAGGACCCAGGCTCAGTCCACAGCACCCACATGTCAGTTAGCAGCCATCTGTAACTCCAGTTCCAGGAGATCCAGTGCTGTCTTCTGACCTCCACAGGCATTGCACACATGTAACATACATGCAGGAAAAACACTCATATGCATTAAGTAGTTAAAGACCTGAAAATAGAAGATGGAACAGCAAAAGTGCATTCTCTCCTCACTGGTGCAAAGAGCACAGAAAAGGTAGTCAGAAAGAATGGGGCTGTTTGTTAACAGACTTGAGCATGCCAGTATTTGCAAGACAAAATAGTAGGAAAAAACATGATTTAGAATTAAGAAATGTTCCCTAGCCACAGAGCGCCACACAAAGAGCTCCCTTTCCCCTCTCTTACCACCACCTGCTCCAGGTTAGTTTAGTAGTCGATTTGCTCATAAACTAGTAAAATACTGTTGCCACAATGTAGCACAGGAAGTTTAAGTAAGAAGACCTAGGTTCATATCTGTGTAGTCTTACCTTGACACATCACTTCCTTAGTTCTTTGGTATGGCAAATGAGATGAAAGAACTAACGGATAGACAGTAGTCCCCTGGGAATACTTTCTAAAACGTTCCATGCATGCCTGAAATTGTAGAGAGTACCAAACTCCAGTACTATTTTTGCCTACATATACCTATGATATAATTTAATTGGTAAATTGGGTACACTAATAATAAATAATAAATAATAATAAAATAGAACAATTTTAACTGTATATTATAAAAATGATTTAAAACTTACAAATTTTTTTCTGGAATTTTCCATGTGATATTTTTGAGCTACAGCAAATTGGCAGGTGATGTAGGACCACTGTATGTATGACATTACTCAGCAAAATACTTTGTATCTGGTTAGTGTCCGCAACAAATGTATATTGATTTTCAAGGCCCACTATAGATTAAACATGACGGTTAACTACCATCATACATGCCTTTTTGCAAGTAAATATCCTTTAAGTTGATTTTGAAAACTGGATGCCAGTTTGTAAGTGGAAATTACTGACTTTCATTGTCTTTGGTCTCAGATCTCCTCTTATTTTGATTTATATTACTCTGTTATCTAGTAGCACAAGAAGGACAAAACGTATTTATATTTTTACTTTTCTTTTCTTCCACAGAGTCACTTGAAATTATATCTACAGCAGCAAGCCATTCTAATAGTGCAATAAGAAAAATGGTAAGTGGCTTTTAGAGGAGATGGGAACTTTCTGGTTAGACACTTATTGGTAACATAACCAGTGATTATGTAGACTTGGACCGAAATGAACAGATATGGATGAACAAAAAAGAATCTTGACAAACATCATCCACTTCCCTCTTTTCTTAGGATTCACTTTACTGATGCATTTTATGCTAAAATGTAAGCTTACTCCCACTCCCTTTTAAATTTTCAGATTTTAGTTAAAGTCATAGCATGATTTAAATCACCTAATTGAAACCTCCTTATATTTGATCTTGCTGTATTTTGTTTTAATTTCTCAGGAAAATCTGAAGAAACTCTTAGAGATTTATGAAATGTTGGGAGAAGAAGAAGACATTGTAAATCCCTCAAATGAACTAATAAAAGAAGGGCAGATCCTCAAACTAGCTGCTCGGAACACATCAGCACAAGAGCGCTACCTTTTCTTAGTGAGTATTACTGTGTCTGCAGGCTGAAATAGAACAATTCGCTGAAGTGCATCTTGAAAGACAAGGTACCCTTTCTGTGGTTATAGCATAAGGTGAATATGAATACTTCCTGAAAGTTTCCTTCCTTGATTTCCTTTTGTTCTCATAAGCTACTGAGTACAATTATTTTATTTTTGACTATTTTGTTGCAAAGAGTTTCCTGTGACGGCAATCTTAACCCTCTACAGACACTAATCTAAAACATCTGTGGAATGGGGTTAAAGTAATGGCTCAGTGGTTAAAAGTACTGGCTGCTCTTGCAAAGGGCCCAGGTTTGGTTCCCAACAACCAGATGGCTGCTAACAACTGTCAGTAACTCCAGTTCCAGGGGTTCTGACACCCTCTTCTGGCTTCTGCAGGCAATGCACACATGGGTGTACTTACATATGCAGGCAATACACTCCTGCACATTTATTTATAATAATAAATAAATAAGAATAAGTAAATAAATAAAATATCTGTGAATGGCAGGCATGTGTGTGCTTCCCAGTTCTCCCTTCCTTCCTTCCTTCCTGGAAATACTTCATCTAGGAAATGAGAACAGACAGAACATTTTGTTGTTGTTCAGTTTATGTCCACATGACATATATTGTTTGTTGTACAGATGAATGCTGACTCTTTCTATACCTTTAAAGGTGATAGAGACCATAATAATGTCTAGCAGTTACAGATAGCAAGATAACATTGAATAATAATAAGTCAGTAAATATTGTGTTACAATTATTATAGAGACATGTTTATAAAGAGCCTGCCTAGTGACTAGCTTCACTGCTGCCAAGCATCCCCTTTACATCTGTAATATGAGGTGTCCTCAAGGGTTGTGATTTCATCATCTGTTTTCATCTTTCTTTGAATGGAAAATTTGATAAAAAGCTAATTGTCATAAAGAGGTATGTATTTGTTTTTTAAGACAGGGTCTCTCTGGAACCCCCAGCTGGACTAAACTTACTATATAAACCAGGCTGGCCTTGATTTCACAGGGATCCACCTGCCTATGCTTCCAGAGTGCTGGGATTAAAGGTGTATCCCACCATGCCCAGCAACAGTTATTTTTCTAAAGAAACATTTTGTTAACCCCATGACACAGCTATTACAATCTAAGTTTGTTTAACACAAAAAGTTCAAAATCAGATGTCCACACAAAAACAAAATATGGTATATCTAAGGAATTGGACTACTTATTCAATAAGGGATAAAATTCTGGCATATGCTTCTGTGGATAAACCTTGGAAACATTTGCTAAGTTTAAGAAACCAGCCATGAAAGGCCTCATTCTGTGGACTCCATTTATATACATGGTCAGGGTAGGTCAGTGCATTGGTAACAGTGTTTACACAGTTTATAGCTGTTCTAAAACCCATGGATTATACATTGTAAAAGATAAACTTTATGTTATCTGAGTCTTATTTCAATAATTTTTAAAATGTATATTGTTCAAATTTACTACACATAGTCCCCATTTGTGCTAAACAGAAGTACTGCATCTTGCCTAGGTTATACAGAGAGTGAAATAGCAAACAAGAGCATGCAGTAGTCACAATAGGGTTCCAGGTTCTAGTCAGAAGTTCATTACAAAATATAGGTTTCATTATTATTCAGGTATGATAGCATTATAATTGTCATGGGGAAGAGCAACCAAGAAGAACAGTGGAGTCACCAAAGAGTCAGGGGGGAGCATGCAGCCAAAGCAAGCAAGGCCCTTTGTGGTTTCCACAGGAAACAAAAGAGCAAAAGGCTTAGCATCCCTGAACTGAGTAATCTATAGACTCTGGGGTACAGTGTCTTTTGTCTGGTACCTGGCCTTGATATGAAAGACTAAGGAACAGTGGCCCAGCTCAATAAAGGGCACTGGTCAATGGCTTCCATCTGGAAGGTGTGCTCCTCAGTGAGTCACTTATACATGACACTGTGAACTGATAATCCAAAGGGACTTGTCCTTTTAGTGTCAGCAAGGCTGAGGATGTCAAAACATCAAATATAAAGAATAAAAAGACAAGCTTTCCAAGACAGAATTTTGGAAGTCACTGTTTGCCTCTGTCACTGCATGTTGGTCTTGGGTCTTCATTTTCCCTCTTCCTCACAAACTTTACAACCTCTGTTACTGAACTTTTAGTTTTATGTCTAACAAACTGATCTGGTTTAGTTTTCACATTTGAAAATGATTTTGGACAGAGCTTTAAGTTAAATACTTTGGTGTAAAGCCAAACTGCCATTTGGGAAGAGAGATGGTAAAGAACTTGGAGCGAATAATTATTCTTTAGTGGCTTTGCAGAAAAGATCATCTTATTACCTCTATCAACTATCAACATCACAACTTTACCTCCAAGGAGAATGAAGTCACAGGGTAGGAATTTGAGGAAAGCTACATTCATCTCTTTTTTGTTGTTGTTTTGTTTTCTGGCAGTGCTAGGAATTAAACCCAGGGCATTGTGTATGCTAGGAAAGCTCTCTACCACTGAGCTACAGTGAGCTACAACTCAATCCATTCTCATTCATTCTCTTTCTCTTTCTCTCTCTCTCTCTCTCTCTCTCTCTCTCTCTCTCCATCTATCTTTCTATATATCTACCTTTTCATCTATCTTTGATCACACACACACACACACACCTTTATGTGGCACAGACTTATCTCAAGCACATAGCCTCCCAAGTTCTGGAATTATAACTATAGACATGCACCACCATACCTGGCTTATATTCAGCTTTTGAAGACCATCTTAGAAGCATTTCCAGTGAAATGTTCATTCATTTAATTCACCCTCTCGAAGACTGTACCAATCATGTTTGTTTCCATGGAGACTCTTGTTCTTTTGTGTGGAGAAATTTCAGAAGTGCAATGAGGGATTATTTTTTATTTCCTATTCTGGAATATTACATTTGGCTGAAAAGCCAAACTATATTTAGAATCTGATTTTTTATTAAATAATAATCTTCATGTGTTTACATATTTGCTTGTGTCCACACTGTACTTTTTATGTAACCAAAGGGTACTCTATTGACTAAATCACCTTATTTGGCATCTGTTGATTTTATAAAAGAGAGATCTCTAAATTATCCAATAGATTGACCCAGTTTTCATTCTTGGCACTTTGTATTTTTGAGTTCTATATTTCCTTGTAGCTTGATAGAGCCAAGATTTTTTCCCTTAACCTTTTTAAAAATTTTTTATTTATTATTTTTGTTTTATGGGTATGAGTACTTTGCCTGCATGTATACTACCAGGTAGGTGCTGGGAATTTAACCCAGGTCCTCTGGAAGAATAACAAGTATTCTTAACCACTGAGCCATCTGTCTAGCCCCCTCCCTTAACTTTTTAAACATTCAACACAGGCATGGTACTGTAAATTTCATTCAACAGCATACTATTATCTTCTTGTTTTGTTTAATGGTACAGTGTGGTATGGTGTGTGGTGATATGTTTTGTTTTGTGACAGGGTCTCCCTGTAACCCAACTAGCCTGAAACTCACTTTGTAAACCAGGCTGGTCTCGCTCTCACAGAGATCTGCCTGCCTCTGTCTCCCCAGTGCTGGGATTAAAGGTGTACACCACTGCACCTGGCTATTACCTTCTAAACAAACTAATGAAATCACTCCTGAGACTGTAACATTGAATTATGCAATGAAATACATATATTTTAAGAAGTTTTGTATAAGTATGTGACTATTAGAGATGAAAGAGGTAGGAAGGTCCCTATTTTTCTAATATGTAGGATTTTATTGAGCTAACAGTAGCTCACACCTGCAGATCCAGCAGTAGGCAGGAGAATATACTGCAGGTTTGAGGATAGCCTGGTCTACATAGCAGGGTCCAAGTCAGGGGACTACATGGTAACTTTTCCCTCTAGATTTTAAAGATTTTGTCACAACATGTGGCTTGAGATTGTTTTGCTAGGCTAAGATTGCTCCCTGCTCAACACTTCCAAATGATTGACATGGGAAATGGGACTGTCCCACAGTGTCAGAGTCAGTGTACTTGGGATATAGTTTCTACAGCTTCTTCTTTCATTATAAGGGAAATCCAGATGGTACCTTTTGCCAAAGGGCCAAGGTTTACAGAGAGAGCAGGACCAACTACATAATGTCTTCGTGAACACATCACATTCTTTGGAAGAAATATTTTATGTTCTGTAAGATCTCTCTTCCTATCTAAGAACATTCACTTTCACACTTGTGAAAATAAAATAATGATTGGCAGTAGATTATGACTAGAATTCTTTATTATATAACTATTAATTTAGAATGTGAAGTCATTACAGAGGAATGCTGTAGTTTTAAAAGCATGAAAAGGAAAGAGAAACCTATAAGATCGTCTGACTCTTTATATAGGAATAACTACAAAAGGCAAATGCTAAGAATCTTACTCATGCCCTTATCTAAGGTAACAGGCTTTGTAAAGCAAGTATATGCACAAATATAAGTCAGAAATTTTATAATATAATATTACATTTGACATGAATGACAATGAGCATTTTGGGAGTGTTTTCCCTTTTTTTTTATTGTCTGAGTCCTATGTACAACAGTAAAACTGTGATTGCCACATTCAAAACATAGTGGAAAGTTAATGATAACACTCAAGACCTCATGTAGAAATGTAAATGTGAATCTGTGATATATCTAAAACATACTCAGTGTTCTTTTATTTTTATAGCTATAAAAATTATAGAACTGGGGGCCTGGAGAGATGGCTCAGTAGTTAACAACACTGGTGGTTCTTGCATAGGACCCAGGATCAGATCTCAGGGTCCACATGGCAGCTAACCATCCATAACTCCAGTTCCATGGGATCCAACACCATCTTCTAACCTCTGCAGGCATTGTACAACACAGGTACACTTACATTTGTGCAGGCAATACACTCATACACATAAAAATAATAAAGTATTTTTTAATTATAGAACTGAAATTTATGGCAGTAGTACAGGGAGCTACAAAATGAAGAACAAGAAGTAATTGGTGAGAAATAT